TATATAGCAAGACCCTGTCTCTTTTTTTTTTTAAGACCCTGTCTCAAAAAATAAAAGTTAAAAAAAAAAATACCGGTTCATTTAGGCTCAGGAAAATTGTAACACTGTCGAACGTTCACCGAACACCTAGAGTAGAGCAAGAAGCTGAACAGAGAGATGCTCTAATCCCTAGCACGTTGCAAACAGCATGAGCGATCATAGAAGATAGAGTACGTGAGGGACACTTAGCCTCCTGAGTGGCCCTGGGTGATGGGAAAATGCTCCCTGCTAGAAGGCCTGAACAAGGAGCGTGCCCCAGGGTAGCAGGTGAGCAAAGCCTCAGGGGCTGGCCACAGAGGGAGGGGGAAATGACAAAACTGTTGTAGCGGCACCCAAGGAGGGAGGATGGGAAGGAGGCTGTGGATCAAGGGAGTGGCCTTTTTCTTGCAGGCATGGACACCATTGGAAGCTAAGCCAGGGGTACAGGAATACGAGACCCTGCTGGGAGGCCACAAATAGTCTTAAAGATGCAGAATGAAGGCCTGAACTGCAGTGCAGGCAGAGTAAAGAGAAAAGCAAAGAGGATGGATGTGAGGGAGGCGATAACCAGGCAGGAAGTGAGTGTGATTAGCTTTAGGGAGGAGTGCAGGAGAGGGAGGGAGGCGACCATGCTTCTGGCTTTGGAGAGGTCAGCTGTGAAAATGTCTCTAACTGAGCCTGCTATGGAGCAGATATTCATATTTGCTTGTCACACATGTGAACACACACACACACACACACACACACACACACACACACCCCTGAGAATTCAGGGTAACAGGCACACCATGCAACCCCACTGGCAGAAGTGTTAATGGGTAGAAACTTGCTGAAAAGTGACCTGACAAAAGGCATCAAAAATTAAAATGCTGGCACCTTTTAATCTAAGCAATTTAACTTTTAGGAATTTACCCTGTAGATAAAATACATAACTTGGTATTCATTGTTTTTTCTTTTTCCGGTACCGGGAACTGAACTCACAACCTTGCGCTTGCCAGGCAGGTGCTATGTCGCTGAGCTAAATCCCCAGCCCCCAGTATTCATTGTTTATAGGGATTAAGTCCGGAGTCTTGCACATACTAGGCAAGTGCTCTACCACTGAGCTACATCCCCATCCTACCAATAAGTTGCTTGCTTGCTTGCTTGCTTGCTTTTTGGTCTTTTTGAGACAGGGTCTCACTATGCAGTTCAGGCTGGCCTTGAGCTCACTTTGTAGCCCAGGCTGGCCTCAAACTTGCAATGATCCTCCTGCCTCAGCCTTCCGAGTGCTGGGATTACAGGTGTATGCCATCACGCCCAGTTCAAAATGGAATTCACAAGAGTTTCTCACTCAGGACCCTGTGCTTGCCAGGCAGGCACTTATAACAGTCTATTTCAACTAAAGAAACAAAATTAACACCATGACTTTTGTGAGTGTGTGTGTGTGTGTATGTGTGTGTGTGT